GGGGAGAATGGGAAGGAGCCAATCTGAAACAGAGGTGAGGTTAATAGAGGTTATGGGGTGAGTATGCCCATGCCAAATGCCAAATATTTGAAAATATGTATATTAAAATATATATGCTATACATGTATATTTATGTTTTAGGCTATCTAATGAGTTTCATGTTCAGGCTTTGAAATAGGAAGCATGGTTTGCCTAACTGCATCTTGGCAGTTTTGAGGTATGAAGGGGAGAAAATGGCATCTTTGTATGCAAAGAGTGATACAGATTAAATAAGTTGGCAGCAGAAGCATGAAGAGGTTTTAATATGTATTTTGTAGTTTCTGAACCAAATTAAACACTTTCTTTGTCCTGACTAATATTGATATTGCTGACTCTTTTTAGCACTTATCTGATACCAGAAATTTGAGCTTGAAGATTTCAGGAGAGAAAAGTTTTCCTGTTAGAGGTCTTCTGATTAAGATTTACTCTGTGTACTGATTGGATACCTCAAAAGAATTTAAATAGATATTACAAATGCGTATAGGACTGTTGTCATTAAAATTTTTGGCTGAGAACATTCAGGAATCAGTTTAATCAAGGGAATATCATAAACTTCCCTATTTTTTACCATGTTACTGTTTTTCTCCCTTTTCCTCCATATCCTACTTCTGTAAAGTACCTAATCAGAGACCACTGTATCCTGACACAGGCTGCCAAATTATGAATAATGATTTTGATAAAGATTTGCCTTGCTCATCAGACAAGTACATGGAAGACCTGAAGAATATTTCCTAGAAAAAAATTGTTGACAGTTAAGTATGAGTGTTGACAGAGAAAAATAGTACCCAAGAAAAACATGAATATAGAAATCTCATTTAATCTGTTTTTTTTTGGTCAGTTTTTTTATAAACTACTGTTTTAAAATTTCTAATTATTATTCTCTGTTAATTAAATTAGAATACATATATCTTCATTGCCAACAATTTCCAATTGGATAGAAAAAATATGATGAGAATGTTTTCATATAAGAATTAATTTGTGTAATGCTGCACTGTTCATTTATTTTAATTTAATTGTGTATTGATACGTGAAAGTAAGTATCATATATAGTACGTACTATAGTTTATGAAAATATGAACTACCATTTTAGCTATTACTAAAGTAGTAATGAAGTGGGAAGAAAGCTGAAAACATTGTAATTGCAGTTTAAGGCTAATTCTGTGTCCAGTTAGACATCGTGCAAGTTAATGTATTAGTAACGAGTGTAGGAAAAGCATGCTTAGCACTTATTTTCTGAGTGCATTACATGGTTTTAAATTCAAGAATAGAAGAATTTTTCTATTACTTTTCCCCAATAATAAAAGGAAAATAATTCAGGACTATTAAATACTTTAAAAGAAATTAACTCAAGGATCCCTATATGGGTTCCAAAATTTAGTATTCTATAATTGCTGAATGAAAGTTGAATCCATTTTCTGTAAAATGTTTTGCAACTGTAAACTTAATAGGTGGCAGTTCTATTTAGAATTAATATATTTCATATTTCTAATGGGATCATGGTGTGCAATTTTTCTTTCATTGGAAAGTGTGTTTATAACATCTATATGGAATTTTAGGGACATATGAAATAGAAGGGAGTAGATATGTGCTGAACTTAGCTGAGAATTGCCTTCATGCTGATATACATCATTTACTTTCTTCAACAGCAGGACCGGATGAACCAGTGAACCAGAAATGGATGTTAGAATGGTATAAATCTGCCTGTGTGCATCTGAAAAAACAAAAAACAACAACAACAAAGAACTCTGGGATTTAGATTAATCTAAAAAAGAAGCAGGAAGAAACCAGATAGATTGGTTTCCAAGAAAAAAAAATGGTAACCAGAACAAAAACAGAGATTATGTAAAACATTTATTCTGAAGGGAAAATATTAGACATATCCAGTCCTCTCTTACATTAATTCTTGTGGTGACAAATGCTGAAGCACCTGTCTAAGAATCTGGGATATGAGATCCAAAAGCAGCATTGACTTGGAGACTCTTTTGTCAATTAATTTCCACGCAGATGTCATAAATTACAGCCTGTCTTCTCCATTCCATTTCCTCCACTTTTTTATTTATTTATGTTTTTATTGAGAAGAAAACTGGAATGTAGTTATTTAAAAGGTATTAAAATATTTTATGTACAAATTCTGTTCATGGAAGAATTGTGGGAAGAATCTGAACAGCATTTAAAATGGCAGAATAAAAGTGTCAAAGTAACACATTAATTGGTGGTTTTCCAGTTGGGGAAACTCTGTAGTGAACTTTGATTTTTATAGTCAGTAGCTGAACAACACTAACACAGATGTTTAATAAATAATTTATCCTTTAGCATCAGCAGCCTGTATTATAGTTATTTTATTCTCGCGTAGCATAGCATTTCCTTCTGTGCATGCACATTTGTAGGCAGCTTTCATCAACTTAACTAGGAAAATGCAGCATCACCGTGTAATATATAAAATACAGTACATTTTTTGAGCAACTCAGTTGACTTCACTCTCTTGAGAAATTAGTCACAGCACTCTGTTTGCTTTTAAATACAGTATATGTATATTTATATTTTTGATGTAATCATATTTGCTATATTTTCCATTAAACAGTCTGTAACCTTCATGAATCTCATTCAGTAACTCTTCGGGGACGGATGCAGAAATAGTTACTGTAACAGCACCAGAGTGCAAACAAAAATCTGTCAGTCTAAAGATGAGTTAGAAACAAGTTCAACCATTTCTTGGAAAATTGCTCTAATACCCATGGCACATTTCTGAATGAATGTCCATGCTGGCCAAAAAAAAAAAAAAAAAAAGGTCTCCCCATAATCCCTCATAAACTTATGTTACAACCACAGAAAATCTAGCAGTAGCTTGCCTTTGGGTGCCTTAATTCAGGTACTGGAAGCCAGCACAGAGATTCATGTGGGCTGAATTACACCATTGAGAATCTGCCAACCTGACTAATTAGCTGCCTTGCCTGTCAGTCACTTGTTTCCATCTATTTTTTCACTTGAGCTGGTTTGGTCATAAAACTGTAATCTTTTCCATTGCTGTGAAGGTGATACTCATAATTTACTCCTCCATCTAGCTATCACATTATTTTCTTTATTTGGATTGGTTGTATTCCTGGTGTTTTCTGCCCCCAGCAATCTTTATTTTCAGGCATTTGTTCTATTTCATGGTTTCATTTCATAAATGCTGTGGTAGCCATGTTGGCGAACTGGAGTGCACTACCCCTACACTGCAGCGTAGACTCTCCCAGGACTCTTGCTCATTCATCAACACCAGCTGGGTGGACCATGTCATTACTGACATCCAAGCAGAATCAAGCGCCTGTTTATTTACAAACAGGGAAATACAGAAAGGGTTTGAGTAAAACTGTTTTTCACTGTATCATCATCTCTTATGTGCCCAATTCAAAGACAAGGTATTTCATATTTTTTAATTTTTGGCTGCTGGGAAATATTTCAGTTAAATTATTCTTTCTAAATTATCTCTCTCTGCTTTGTAGTAGATTGTTTTTGAGAAAATGAGAAAGGTAGAATTTTATCCTTGCTTTTATATTTGAATTAGGTATTTTAGAAAATTTTAAAAACTCAGAAGCATAATGCCATCATCTTAATGCTTTAGGGCAAGAACATTTTTATTGAACTTAAAAACATTAATCCTTTTGTTGCAAAGCTGAGCACTTCCTGCTTCTATCTCTGGGAGACTATGAGAGATCAAATGTTTCACAGATTCACAGACAAGCGTATGTCATCTGTGATGATGCTATTGTTTGTGAGCAAAATAAAAACATTTCTTGAGAACTTTAATTTTAAAAAGAGCACTTATAAAAGGTGCATTGAAACTTCATCTGATCTTTGTGAGTAAAGGAGTTCTGTTGATAGAAGTCCTGTCTTTTCTTTGAGCCAATGTAGCACACTGTATTTTTTTGACATCACTGGGACTTTCACTACTAGAAATCCACCAAAGACTATCTGATAAGAAGGAGCATCAACAAGCACCATGAATGATCACTATGGAAATCTACTGTAAATTTCTAATTTGTATTTATTGTGGAGGAAATTGTAACTTCCTCCCTTCCCACCTTGCAGACTATGAGCATCGCATGCTGTACTCCTTGCCATCTGGACTATATGGTGGTGACCTTAGGGACGGAGGGTCAGGCTGACCACTGTGCAGCTGGATCTCAGCATCAGTTCTTTTGTAGTGGGGTATTTTTTACTGAATTAAGAATTAAGTTTTCATTTCTCTGATGTGTTCTTCTTCCTGTGATTCACCTAGATTGGGTAGTCAGTTCTCTTTCTTTAAGCAGACTTATTTCTCATGTTCATGTATTGTTGTGTCCACTGAGCATCTGATGTTGAACCTAAATTTTGAACCTAAATTTTATTGATTTAGCTTTGTGTTTTAGGTAAATATTGGTAGTAGATAACAGTGTATTCCAGCAGAGAGATAGACCTCACTTCATTATACCTTGTTTACTATTTCTAAGGGTAATATTTATAGCTGGCTGTGGGATAGTATTGGGTCAGGCTGAGATAAAATGCTAGTCAGGCTATTGATGTAGTGAATCTTTTCACCCGTTGATCATGTAACACTGCAAAAGAAATTATTTTGCCGAAAGAGCTTGAAAAGGATTCTGAAGGTGTTATTACGAGCCCTAGCTGTCAGTTAGCACCAGTGGATCATGTTCCCAGCTCATACTCAGCTGTAGGTATAGAAGATGAGCTGAGTTCCTTTTTCAGAAAAGGTATACCTCATTAAATAGGCAAAGGTGTGGTTCATCAGCATTCTTATTTCATCCCAGGTTAAAATGGTATTATCTCTGGGGATTTTGCCTCTCATTAGGAAGGCTTTGTGAAAGGTGAACCTGTGCTAGAAATAAACTTCAAACAAAAGCTGTGTTCTGCTAGATTGTTTAAATAAATTCCCTGACGCTTGTTATCTCTCTCTCTCTCTTTTTTTTCCCCTAACCCCCCAGATATTGGCAAACGTAATCATTTTTATCTGTGGAAACTTGGCAGGCGCGTACCACAAACATCTCATGGAACTTGCATTGCAGCAGACCTATCAAGACACATGCAACTGCATCAAATCCCGGATCAAGTTAGAATTTGAAAAGCGGCAGCAGGTAAAGTCAATGTCATGTTTGGGCCAGTTTTGCTGTTTTCCCGTTATCCCCCATCCCTCACTGTATAATCTAGTTTGCCAGTGGAAGAGCCTTTCAGAGCTACTGAAAGTTGCTTAAAAATGTGCAAAGTCTCTTGAAGAGGATTTTGCACTATTTCAATGAGAATTTAAGAAGGTTCTGTAGCCTTCTAAAAGGTTATATGTATTCGTGTTGCCATATGCATATTTTCTCCTATTTGTTTTATGAAAATATTTTATGAAAATAGAAGTTGAAGTTGCTGTATCAACTCTGTTTTCACACTGACTCTTTTGTTGTCCTCATCAGTTAAGTTGTGTGATGTATATTTATGCTTTGGGAATCGTCATTTCTTCCTGCCCAGGAGCAGTACTGTGAAATCATTGCCATAAGGCAGTACTGCACTGTTTTAAGGTATTCCAAACTACAATGCTGAAAAAACATGTGATGTAGTTCTAAGGGTCAGGTGTATTAAGAGCTGGGGGAATTGCATAATGAGACTGTCTGTCATTTACTGTAGCAGCTGAATAAAAGGCTTCTCTGATTGCTTTATATAGTTCTTTTTTTTTCTATTTGCAAGTTCTGTACAGTGCCTATCATCCTGACAGATAGGTACTTCATTTGAAAGAATTTGAAATACAAATTAGTGCATCAAGTAGTAAAGAAGAGAGGTGTATTTTGCTCTGAAGGTCACCAAATTCAAACTTCTTCAAACTGTTAATGGTGAGAGAACAGAGCCTTCATGGACACGTTGCTATTGCTACATATGGTGCCTTCAAGGGTATGTCTAGTGTGTTCCTGCTGGTCTTAACTGTTGTATTTGGGGAAAATCTCACAGATACCTGCAGCCACTTTAAATCAAAGTTTTCAATGTATACCACCAATACTTTAGATGTCAGAAAGAACAAATGAAGAAGCTGTACCAGGACTTCAGTGGATGTTGCTTTAGTGGGCTAGCCTCATTCTGCTGTGCATTTGGGTTGCACGGTGACTGAAGCTGCTCTGAGACATTTAGAGTAGTCAGGAGGAGAATATCTTACAGTAAACAGAGGTATTGGTGATTAGATGCAAGATCTGCATAACCCACTATTTTAGAGAGGTTGTGGAGGGACAGTCATTTATAAGCTTCCATTCCTCGCTCCATGAACCGTGTGCAGAGCATTAATAGATTTTATAGTTGATCTCATACTCTGAATCATTTTTCTGTGTATATTGTCTGGCACTCTTCTCTTGAAAATGCAGGCCATAATACCTCCAAATTAGTTGCAACAAGACAATTTGCACAAGGCAACTACTGCCAGGCATGTAGGAGTAGTGTCACTTCAGGATGGGGTGGCACCTTTTGGTGACATGGGGCTGATGTGATGACTTCAGGGCTCCTGGTCACTCAGGAGAAGATGGTGAAGGTTGCTTGGTGCGTTCAGGCCTCAGCTGCCAGAAAGACATGGGCAGGTCATAACCTAAGAGCAAAATACATAGCGGGCATCAGGGTACCTCTTATTCAGGAGCATCTGAGTTCTTAGCTTCCTGAGCACTGTTTTGAGGGTCCAGGTGCTGTTTTTGTTCTTGGTTGTTTTTTCTTACAAGTACTGGAAATTAATTAGTATGTCTAATGGAATTAGGAAAGTGTATTATGGGGTACACTGTCAATAGGTAAAATCAACAGGTTGAAGAAGATGCTTGTAGAAGTCTGTAGTTAGAACAAAGTGCTAGTAGGTATGTTTTGAAGATGTGTATTATCTGCTAAATGCCATGAACTTCTGTGGAATGTCATCAGTAAGCAATTTTGATCTCCTCATGCTTTTGAAGATCTTAAAAAAATGGTCAAGAAGCTGACAATGGAGAAAAGCAAAAATATTTACAATACTACAGTTGATGTTTGCTCTCTATTATTTGGAAAGGTTACATTTATAATATGCTGCAGCCCAACAAGATGGATAGCACAACCACTATCTTTGATTGATAAAATTGTTTGATTGTTACAGAATAATGATGAGAATTACAATTAATTTGTTATATATTTAAGTATGCATAGTCGTATTTGGTTTTTGGTTGAAATATATCATGCAGCTAGCTAAGATCCATCTGCACACCTCTAACTGTACTGCTGGTCTAGGCTTGTGTACTTTTGTTGCTGATAGCAGATGGACAGAAGACGATTAAACTTACTTAGGTGAAGGGGGCAGAATTCTCTGAGTATTTTACTTTTTATTTATTTATTTATTTATCTTACCTCCCCTAAACCAGTAGATCCTCTGATCTTCTTAAATAGATGTGTTTAGTTTTACCCTCTCGATCCCTTAATATGCCATTTGTCCTATTTGATAGTTTTCCAACCAAAATGTGAAGGAGATGGAAGTCCTCATAAGACATTTACAAATGCTGGATATTTAAATATGAGCATATGACTGGGGGTTAATTTGAGGAGTATTTTTTTCTACTCAAGTTAATGTATTTCTGGATTAAAAAGGTTGCAGGCACAGAAACGTGAATGTACTTGAGTCTGTTGTTTAATAGTGTTTTGTTGAGTTGTGTTTTTTCTCCAAGAAATGCAGGAGATGGTCCACAATATTAGCATTCAGGTAGCAAAAGCCAGTCATGTTGTTGCATAGGATTGGGATACATTGAAATGATCGGAGCAGGTGCATATTAAAAAATGCTAAGTTGATTTTGAAAAAGCTTTTGTTAGCATAAGCATTGATTTTTCCATCTCTTTCACAAGGAAAAATTGATTTACTTCAATGAGAAGTTACACAGTTACTTTTACACAAATGTCAAGCATAGGGATATTCTTTTGAGTACTTAGGTCTCCAGATCAAACTTAACCGCATGGACATCATGTCTTTTATAACTGTTTTTGAAAGATGGTTTTGAGGCGAGCCCCTCAAACCTGGCTGTGGTGGCCGGGATCAGCTGATAGCCCAGATTGTCAGGCATGTTCATGGTGACAAAGCAGGTCTGAGGAGCGGTCAGGATGTCACTCTTTGGGTTGAGGTCCAATATTTATAGAAGAGATATGTGAAACCTCCCAAGATCAGCAATTTCATTTCAGGACACATATTTAATATAACTTCATAACATTATTTGTCCCATTGAGGCAGACTAGCTGATATTTTGCAGAGCTAATGACTCACTGAGTTAGCGATCTTAGCACTGACAAGTGTTTAACATAATTGGTCTTCTTTCTCTCCGCTGGTGCTCTGCATTAGGAGACATAGGAGATACGCTCTGAGAAATTCTTACAACAGGTAACTGTCAGGTGTTGATGCTCAGTGGGTTCTCTAGGATGATATCTTCAGAAAAGAGGCAGTATAATGATGGTTTTAGAAACAACACTCAGGAAGGAGATTGAATTGAATGAGGCTGCAGATCATTGAGTGGGATTTTAACTTTTTCACTACAAGACGATGATCTGATACCATTCATTACAAGCACTGAAATACTTTAGAACCTCTTTAAATCTCAAGCAAAGAAATCTCATAAATTTCTGGCACTTGAGCCTCTTCATGAAGAACAGAAATGTTTGAAGTGTGTTATTTGGAACCAATAAATAAAGTGGATTCATAAAAATTCTACAAATACATCTTATGCTTCATTTTTTATTATTTTTGTTTGTTTGTCTTTTGCCCATGTTCAATGTCCATTACCAATAAAATAGGAAGCCTGTTTTATCAGAAAAGGAAATAGCAGAAAGCATATATCTTCAATCATATGCACCTCTAATAGTACTCAGATATGGAGGAGTGTTCTTTACTTCAGTCAAAAATCAGGGCACTGTGTGTATCCTTTTAAATTTCCTTAGAAATAAGGAGAAGAATGATTCAGGTCAGTCATTTTAAAGTTACAATTGTTCTTTTACTTCCTTTTCTTGTTGTCAGGAGTTCAAGGTCAGTTACTTTAGGCCTCCAATATCAATACTTCATCAGCTGATAAAATAGAGGGATTTCAGTACCTTTGGTCATACTCTTTGTCTGCTCTCACTCATATAGTTAGCTTTCTCTACTGATGCCTGGGATGTAGGGTTCTGCTACCTCTTCTACCGTGACTTCTTCATAAGAATTCTCCGTGAAACATGATTTTCAGAAGAAACGTAATCTCTTGACTGGATAGGTGCTGTTAAATACAAAGTGGTATCATGAACGTGGCTGAATTCACCATCCATTTCCTTGTTAGGGTTTATGTTTACAAAGCTTGGTGCAACAGAGCTAGATAATCTGCTTTCAGCTCTTTATAGCAAAGTCTTGTGTTCCTAAACATATTCTTGGGGATTGTTTTGTCATAAAAGAGGTGATCTGCAGTGCAGCCATAGTGGAACAAAGTTTGTTCTAATTTCTGGGGGATATTTAATTTTAGAGTATCTCTAGAAATTAGTCTTTTGGTGTATATAAGTGCATATAAAGAAATCGTGGACAGTAATAGGACTCTCCTGGCAACAGCAGTATAAATTTTATCTTTGGTAGTGATTGTGCACCAGTTACTGCAAAGATTTTTCCACTTCTTTATATAGTCTAATTATCTTGATAGTGTCATTACCTGTGCTGTAAATGTATCTCTGACATTTACTCTGCTTTGGAAGGATCTCAGAATAGCCCACTGGCTTCTATTATTCAATTAAGAAACTGAATTTTAGTATTTTCTTTTAGGGGAGGTGCGACAAAATTGGAATAGGTTCAATATTTGAAAATAAAAGTATTTCATTGCAGTATTGCCAAATATATTGGTCATTTTTGACAAAGAAGATGTCATTCTAGGGTTAGGGTTAAGGGCTAGGGGTTGGAGATTAGGGCCTAGGATTAGGGATTATGGGTAGAGTTACATTAGGTTAGGATTAGGGGTTGTGTTAGGGTTAGAGTTAGCATTTAGATTTAGGGTCAATGTTAGGGATAAAGGTTAGGGTTTAGGAATAGGGTTTGGTTAGGGTTAGGGTAAGGATTAGGGTTACAGTTTAAGATTAGAGTTAGAAGGATATTGAAACCATTAAGTGG